GATCAGTGACTTCTAATCAGTGTTGGTTTCCAGATTTACAACTGTCCTTGATTTGCGCATAAAAAGTATGTTTCGGAAACCAATATTTCATATGGACGCCTCATAAATCTTTTCCTTTACACCACTGTCAGCTGTTTGAAGGAAAAAAGACTGAATTGATACGATTTGCACATAACTGAATGATATGAGTTTTCAAAGATTGCCAGTGGTCCTGTATCATCACGTGTTCCCTACTATTATATTTGGTATGGAAATGATTCATCCTCTTCAACTATAAAGCGCTTCGTCTGTCGTCTGTCGTCTGTATGTGTGTCTGTCACGAAATTCCCTAGCTCCTCGGGATCCACCTGGAGGGACGGGTCAAGTGTGGGATGGGTGGGCAAGGTCTCACGTAATACAAAACACACATCAGCTAAGCGGAGCCCCGCCCACAGAGGGCGTGGCGTGCGTCGAAATGAATTGTACCGAAGACCACGATTTCAGTTTCAGTGGGAAAACAGCCTCGAAACTGGGCCAAAAAGTGGGTGAAGGTGTACATTGGTAAGTCACATCAAATGAGGGAGACCCACCCCCAGTGGGCGGAGCGTTCTCCAAAAAAGCGGTGCTTTGTGAAAAACTTTCAAAACTCGGTTGGGAGGAAAACTACAGAGCAGAAAACAAAATGATGCAGGAGAGCAATGTCTAAGGTGTGCCCAGCATACACGAAGTTTACGGAGGCCCGCCCACAGTGGGCGGAGCGTGCTCTGAAGTGAACAGCATTTTCTACGAGTCCTCATAATTCGGGCCGGAGACGTCTTAGTGAGCCGGAAAAAGGTGGATAGAGTTGGGTGGGGGAGTGGAGGTCAACGGCCATTGGTGGGCGGGGCATGACCAAAGTGGGCGGAGTTTGCGACGGAAATTTATAACTCGGTTCCAGGAAGTCCAGGAGACTGGGAAAAAGGTGGATAGAATTGGGTGGAGGAGTGGAGGCTAACAGCCATCAATGGGCGGAGCAAGACCAAAGTGGGCGGAGTTTGCGGCGAAAATTCATAACTCGGTTCCAGAAGGTCCCGGAGAGTGGGGAAAAAAGAAGATATAGTTGGGTGGGAAAGTGGAGGTCAACGGCCAATGGTAGGCGGGGCTTGGCCAAAGTGGGCGGAGTTTGCGACGAAAATTCATGACTTGGCTCCAAGAAGTCCCTGAGGCCGCGGAAAAGGTGGATGGAGGTGGGTGGAGGAGTGGAGGCCAGCTGTCAATGGTGGGAGGGACATGACCAAAGTGGGCGGAGTTTGCGACGAAAATTCATAACTCGGCCCCAAGAAGTCCAGGAGGCTGGGAAAAAGGGAGTAGAGGTCGGCGAAGGAAAGGAGGTCAAATGCTATTAGTGGGTAGAGCACGCACCTAAGTGGGCGGAGTTTGCCAAAAGTGTCGTAATTTGGTTCCAAGAGGTCCCAGAGACCGGTGAAAAAGGGGGTAGAGGTCGGCGAAAAGAAGGGAGCCAAATGCTATTGGTGGGCAGGGCACGCACCGAAGTAGACGGAGTTCGCCACGAGATTTATTGTCCGGGCCGAGGACCGAGAAAAATAGGATAATGGTTGACGAAGAAAGAGCGCATAGAATTTAGCGGAGAATTCAGATATTCGTATTGTATCAAGCCAAATTTGAAATTTTTCGTCGCACCATCAAAATTCGCCACAGATCTGTGTTGCGCGCGCAATGCGTGCGGCGCCAACTGGTATATTCAATTGATTACGAATACGATCTCTTGGTTATACTTCTTAGAACAACGCCACGAATGAATTAGGCTATTCACGCCTTAGTAACTTTTTATTAGATGATCCGTATCATTAAGATATCGACGGGAAAGCCTTGTGACACTGACATTCCTCAGTCCTTCCTGCCTTTGCGCATCAAATCAGTGGGGCACATACCTGAACTTGCGCTGGTGTTCGAATGAATCTTGGAGGGATCCACTGACTCTTCCCAGTTTCAAAGTTATAGAAATATGTCCTGGAAAAAGCATTCATCCTTGTCAATATAATTCGTGATAAGAAGTGCGAGACTATCTGCAAAAGACTATTAGTGACGCTTACCTTCCCGCCTCAGTTTCGTACTCCATCCATCCATTGTTCAGATTTCGTCGTGGTACATCTGCTACATCTGGGACTGGCGGATACGGACGATGATTCAACTCGTCCATTTCTCGGATATTCGTGTAGATATGTTTGTCATCGTCCTGATGCGATGAGCACAACTCTGGTGACTCGGAGCAGCTTGTGATCTGAAAATAAGGTTTGGCATTTTCATGAGCTATGATATTTTTACAGCTTTTCGATCTCAATGTGTGCCATTAAGTAAGCATAGCTTTCTCTTGGAACAAGCAGGCTCCCCCACTAAAGCCCTACTCAGCTTGAGCTCTGGTTTCTTCTCAGCGAATAAAATAAGCTGAGAGATAGAGATAAGATCAAACCACTTTTTTGTTATCCATAACACCACTAGAGGTCCGAAGGTCAAACACAGGGTGACGATCCCTAAAAATTCGAATGATGACGCATGAACCTGCATTACGGTGATGCAAAGAATACGACCTCCGACCTCAGCTATTCCCAAATGCACATTGCTACCTCCTTTGATTGCATTACAGCGCTGATCAGTGATTGTTGCGCGCCCAAACGAAATTAGTGGGGGAAGTCTTAAATTTTGCTAAATCTGGCAGCTACGAAATCATTTAGAAGAGCACTAGATCTGCAGTTTTCAAAGGACTACAAATAAGAGTGGGGGTTGAATATACTTTCCTTAACTTGCACTAAATATTCCAATACCTGAAATTACAGTACTTGAGAGATCGACCTTAAATCTCGCATAAGTTGAAGTGATCATCAAAATACATTTTGATAACTGATCCACTTTACGAGAGAGTAAACAATATTGACCAATCGTGCACCAGTCGCAAAGGGCACATTCGGCGGATTTTATGAAGGTGTAGGCACAATGTACAATTTCTTGCAAACAACTGCGGCTTATCAGCACTACACTACCGAAGAACAAAGAGATTTTAACTTTTATTAGACTAATAGCCCAAAGCTGTGAAAAATAACTAATTTGAGTTCCTCAATCTAAAGAAAAGTGAAAATCACATTCCGCATGACTCTTTGTCGAACTCATACTTGAAGGATAAAGCATTTGCCGTTGATCAATCCCTTTTTGGGATGCGGCACGCATTCTACTTCCATTTGTACATTCGTAGTGGCGTTTGAATGCGATGTGGCCTATACAATGACTTGCGGGGGCCAGCCGATGTACAAGTCAGTGTTTTTATCCTCCCAGACAAGTCTGGTACCAATTAACCGACCCCGGAGGGATGGAAGGCTTGGTTGGCCCGGGCGACTCACGACCCAGGATTTGATCCCCGGACCGCTCGCGTGGTAAGCGTGCCACTTGCCACTACACCACTTCCGCCCTATAGACTTACTTTAAATATTATGGATATCAATGTACTTAAGACATATTAACCCATATTCAACGTCGGGGTTGAAATTCTTACGAAACAGTTCACCATGCACCGCACTGTTAATTTACATATTGAATCATGAAGCACTCTGTACAAGCAAAACACTACACAGCCTATGCTGCAAAGCCGCGAAAATGTTTACCAATTTAGTGCAGCATCACAAAGTGAATTTTGAGTTCACTGAAATCAAATAACCACATAACAACCAAGACAACTAACTAACAAAATTTCCCCTCGAAGTTATAGAGTTCAGAGAAAAATTGGAGAGAAAATTTTAAACATACTTTCTCATTTGAGTTACTCCTCGAGTCCGCATCGTACGTTCCTGAATCCTCCAGTTTTAAGTCGTCTAAATGGCTCGTTGATTGGGTATCAGAAATATTCTCATATATCGTTGATGTCGACGATGCTATCGTAGCCATCATTATCATAAGAATAAAGGCGAACGCATACCTTCTAAAACATCTACTATATGATCGGAACTAAAATCGTAAAAACGATAAGCAATCAATAGCATAACAAAATCGCCGCGTCAGACAGCGCCACGATCGTGACTCAGGACAGATAGCGAGCGAGCTGCGTTCTTCCGCTGACGTTCGGAAGCTATGCTTAGATAGCGGTCAAATAGAATTCGATCACGATTTTAAAATTACATCAATGCCGAAATGCCGAATGAACACAATGAAAACACAGGGCTCAATGAAAGAGCGTTTCCTGAGAGTGCAACGACACACTGAAAGCGTTGCTGAGGAATAAACGGGGAAAATCGATACGATGAAATGGGAACAGAGAAAATGTGCTGGGAAATTCATGCAAAAACTAAAAAATGACGAGTGGACATGAATACCATAGGCGATAAAGAATGGAAAGAAACGACGATAGTGCAACTCCGGAATTAAAACATGGTGGTCTTGAAAAAAATACGTATCGAAAAAATACACATATGAAATTATGAAGTTTTTCATTAGAGCTAAAAGGATATTTTAATGATAGAGAAGAGAGATTAATCCCAAAAAAATTTCAGCATGCAAGAGTCACCCAAACCAGGAATAGGACACCGCGCATCGATCAGTGCTCACCGTTTCGTTACTAATCTTGTTTCTGCCTCTCCGCACCAACCCGAACGAGCGAATCGAGGAAAATATTATGCGAATATCGACCTCTGCTTACCACGAAAATATTTCACTTATACATAACGCTTAGTGCAGTCACAAGGTACTGGTACAGATACCGGTGCCCTGACGCATCAAAAAAAAAAACTATTCCGTGCTACTAACAAGTAAAACAAACTGTGCGGAAAATGGTGCGTATGTGACCCGATGCTCAAACATTTCACGATCACATGTGCGGTGATGGGGAAAAGAGGCTCCACGGGGACGCTGTGTAAAGATAAAATAAAAGTGAAACTGTACTGACCCATGTGAAACGTTGGGAATTTTGTTTTTTCTACAATTTCAATTTTGCACGAGGCAAAAGCAAAAAGTTGACGCCGTCGGCGGAACGATATAGCGACACACATCGTGCATTATGCAAATGCGCCATTCAGCGAACATGATAACGCCATTCCGACTCGATTTCGATATCCTCACATTCACATACATTCACTTTCCCACATTTACGAATTTCAAAACCAATCTATGCAATGGCGCCAAAGAAATGGGAATGTCCTTCTCGAACCGCTAATCTTTTGTTATTAATGGCATACTAAAAAATTTATCTGGCACGTTCACCTACCAGCTGTTCAAATCATTAATTCATTGGGAAGGATAAACAACAAATGCAAGAAAAAAAGAAGCAGGTTTGATGATTACACGATTTTAAAGAAATAAACGTACGTGAAAAGTTGAATGCGATTGAAACCCGAAAGTAGTGAACAAAAATAAGCAGCAGATTAGCACAACATGAAGTAAAAAACCAATAAACATTATGGCACAACGAATAAAAAAACTAGTCCGCTCACTAAAAACTTACAACGATAACAAGTAAAGTTCTGTGAGAGGAATCATGCAACTGAAAAAAAAATGTATTATTGTAGGGATGATGCCCTGGTTTCCTGTAAGTCTTCCATTGAATAAAGAAAGTTCATAATCTTCAAAAGTTCAAAAAATCAAAAATATTAACTGAAACTGGAAAAATGTGACCTTCACGCGCGCGGTAATAAAATAATTGTTCCCCTTCTAGTGCTATGGTTGCTTGAACGCGAGGCGGGAACAACATGGCTTGAGGAAGTATTTACGTAAGCTGCAAGAAGCGGAGCTATGAATCATTCATAAGATCACGGACACGGACTTTAAGGAAAACACATTCAGGTTTTGCAGCTGTTTTCTAACTTTCTCAAAAAAAAAGAAACACCAGATTATGAATTTACGTGACAGATTGAGCTGTGAGCTCAATAAGGAACGAAGTATCAACCGCAAGCGCAGCAGTGACCATTGCTGAATACTAACATACAAATTGCAATATAATGGATTAAAATAAATTAAGATATTTAAACATGCCGAAGTTAGGCCCTTTACTTTTTTATAGAAATGACGCGAATTTTTACCTCAAAATAAAATAAAAAAGTTAGGAAGAAACATGGAACATCGCTTGCTAGAAATCAGAAATCAGCATGAGGCTACCAGACAAGTTCCCCGTTGTTTACAAAAAAAGAAATACCCGAAACGTTCCCGAAAAGGCCTTACCCGCTCATCACCACGGCTAGTACCTCTTCAAAAGCCGCTTTTCGGCCGTATATGCGCAATGCAAACACTACGCCGATATTAACGAGGCGGTATCGATTCTGGCCCTCTACGACGTCCGAGACGATCCGCTATGCATTCGTTTATCGTTAGGGCACATTGTGACACATGCTTATGTGAATCATAATCATTCACGTGTTAACATTTTCGGGCGACCCCTCAATTAATCCAATGGTAAGCTAGAAATCAAAAACTTTGTGACTGCAAAAACAGCGGTTTCTTTAAAAAGTCGAATTTGAAATGGTTTAGTGGATTTTTGATTCAGTCGCGAAATTGGTGCTTGTAGAGGAAACCACACTCAATCGTGAACTGCAAAGCTTGAAAAAATCTGCCGAATTGCAGTTGGCTTGCATGATCAGTTCCTACAGCGCAAAATTCCTGTGAATTTGTTCTTGAGCAAATGGAAAAGTTAGCGACCGAAAAAGAACTACGAATCAGAGCACTGTCCTACAATCGAATTTTATACAAAAAAATCCCGAGGTACAGGGCTGCAATGGTAAAAAGATAGTGCCTCAATCAAGGAAATGTGGGCTCTTCACAAAAAGGATCCATAGTGTGCAGCGCCCTACAACATTTAAGCCACGACAAGCACTTTAACTATATTAACGCATTTTAGGACTGACCTGGGACGCGCCGTGGGCTGGAGTGGGGGGCGGGGGCGGTAAGTGCCAAGGCGACTTTCTATTTTCCGCAGTCCTACCTCGTAACATAATCCTAAGAGATGGATCAGCTGATTCACCTAGCCCCTAATTGCCTCTTCGCATCATCCAGCACAATACTCGTCCAAGATACGAAAACTCAAAGTAATGACGTAGGAATAAAGCCGGTAACACTTCGTATTTTTGAAGATGTTTCATTGCAAAAGTGGAACTGGACTAGTTCACAAGAGCAGTTGTCTCTTAGTCGAAAAGCTGTTTGCCTCATACCCAACGTCACTTTTAAAAAATCGTTCGCACAGAAACTGAAGCGTCTACACAAGTTTTTCAATCACATTTCTCTATGTGACAATCTTGAACACACAATCTACAACTCGTAGGAAAAAACTAAGCACGAAAATGAAGAAATGAAAACCTCATTGATGCGGTAGCTGATCCAGTAACTGCTGACAGCGAACTCGTTCCGTGAGTTTTTGAATGGTTCGCAATTACGTACATCTCTGGAGCTTACCGTAACACGCGCACCTACCCGTGCGCTGCAGTAGCATACGTCCGCGAATAACTGTCCTTGAAGGAATTACTCGAAAGACAAGCTGTTTTCTACTCACCTCTGTAGGCTTAAATAGAGTGTCAAAACGGAATAATTATAAAAAAATTCGCCGAGCGCCGTGGAGGCCAATCGATGCCTACTTTTTGCACGGCTACTGGCAGCTCGCAGAGCATCTAACCAGGAAGGTCTTTCAGGGCGTGACGAAGCTTTTTGAAAACGGTCTTTTGCATGATATAGGGGCAGATGCGGGAACCACAGAACCATGTTTATTTTTCCTGAACGGCCCTCTGAATACCAGAAAAGGGGTCCCTAGTTCGATTCCTCTGGTGACAAATTTTTGCATTTCGAGTTGACGTTCCAAAATTCGCGCAAAATGGAGTTAGCATGAATAATTAGTACCATATTCATGATTAGGACCGTCAGTAACCCTTACAAATAGACTTTGATTAAAAAACTGGTGAAAAAGGTGTGACACCACAGTGGGGCTGCTTGATGTCACGCCTCTCACACCAATTTTTAAGTCAAAGTCTTTTTGTAGGAGTTACTGACGGCCCTAATCATGAATATGGTACTAATTATTCATGCTAACTCCATTTTGCGCGAATTTTGGAACGTCAACTCGAAATGCAAAAATTTGTCACCACGAGGAATCGAACTAGGGACCCCCTTTTCTGGTATTCAGAGGGCCGTTCAGGAAAAATTAAACATGGTTCTGTGGTTCCCGCATCTGCCCCTATATCATGCAAAAGACCGTTTTCAAAAAGCTTGTCACGCCCTGAAAGACCTTCCTTAAGTGGACCTTATGTAGAAGTTACACACTGGGAACCTTGCATAATTGTATCTTTTCAGATATCTTCGGAATCGGATTACAGTTTTATGCGGCAAGACTGATATCCGACACTCCGAGAACAACGGCTGCGCCAGCGCCGACTTCTGCCAATAAAGAACATCTGCGCTACCTACGATGCTCTCAAACAACATCTTAAGTCAAATTATTAGTCGATATTTGGTTCGAACAAAACCAGAGAAATCGAAAAGCAAAAGCACACTGTACCACGTATATGACAATGCTCTGAGCCTGTGTTCTATGTGCAGCGGGGACGGGTGCCAGGTTGACGACTTACGGATAACCAGACAAATTCGTTACGAATACGTATCGTGATCAATGGTAGAATGGAAACAACTTTACATGAGCCTATTCGGAACAAATTCTGAGCTTTTGAGCGGGACCTTGGAAAGGACACAAGAGAACCGAAACAACCCACCTCACGGGCAGGTTGAAAATGGAAGCTATGGCTACATAAAAGACATACTAGAGAAGAAAGAAGGCAACGATATCTCCCGGAAACGACGAGAAAAACCGGATTCTTGAAATTCCCCAAAATGGTTGCAGGGAAATTTTCCCAGTTCCCAGAATTTTCTTGTCCTGCTTTCTTCAGATACGAATGTCATTCGCAGAGAGTGATCGCCTTCGCAAAGCGTAC